ACAGGTACCCCGGTCAAACATTTATTGATAAATTATAAAAGTGGAAATAAGTCTTGGTATACATATTATTTTTACCATTTCTTTAAAAAGAAAGCAATCTGCATACTAATGAGATGGATTTGCTTATTTTTAGTCTCAGCTGAATATTTAGTACTACAGAACATATAGCATTCTCAATGTTACTTGAAATCCTAAACTGTTATAATATCAAGGTGATAACCACACTTTGCATAAATACATACTACAAAATATATAAGTATATTTAAGGACATTTCAGAAATTATTGGAAATTCTGTTCTAATTCCAAACCAAAATGTAATGATTTTTTTTTTCAAATGAAACTCAAGTAAACTTGAGTTTTTAAACTCAGTAATTTTAAAATTCAAACATTCCAGGAACAGAAAAGATGGCTCCATGGTTAAGAGTCCTGCCTGCTCTTCCAGCAGACCTGAGTTCAAGTCCTTGCACCCAGATCAGGCTGCTCACAACTACATCTAACTCCAGCTCCATGGGATCAGACACCCTCTTGTGGTCTCTGTAGAGGCACACACACACTTATATAAATAAATAAAAATAAAATGAATTTTAAATCAAACATTCTAAGCTGGAGGTGGCTTAGCAGAAAAGAGCACTTGCTACTTTTCCAGAGAACCTAGATTCAGTTTCCAACACCCACATGGTAGTTCACAAACACCCAGAACTCCAGATCCCCAGTTCCAGAGGATCTGATGCTCTTCTGGCCTCCACAGGCACCAAACATACATGCATACACACATATGCAGATAAGCACTCATGTATACAATATAAAAATAAATAAATCTTTAAAAAACATTTTAACAATGCAATCCAAAGATATACTAATTTTGTATTTAACATTCTGAGGAACAACAGTAAGAAATACTGTCTTTGTCTTCCATGATGAAATCATTATGCACCCATAAAGAACAAAACTTGTATGTACAGTTAAGAACAGAGCATTTACAAGAGTGACTATGAACTGAGGTGTTTCAGGCAGTCTGCACCACACTGCACAGGGTCATGTTCAGACCCAGGGCTACAGGGAAGTCCAGAGACACAATGCAGGTGAGTGGTGAAAGAAAAACCTGGAATTCATTTTTCATCTGACTTCGAATCAAAAATTAGTTCCAAACATTCCAAAGTTTAAAGAGTTAAAAACATTAAATTTCTTAGGGAAAAAATGATTAAATTTGTATAACCTTGAAATTGGCAATAGAATCCTAGGTATGTTCCCAATAATATAAACAAACAAAAGGAAATTGGACTTGAACAAAATTTAAATGTTTTGGTTTTGGGTTCATTAAAGGGCATTACAAGAAAGAAAGTAAAGAGATAGTGGACAAAAGACTTGCAAATTATTTATCTAACAAGAGAGTAGTATCCAGAATACATAAATAATTCTTACAAATGAACAAGAAAAAAAAAAAAAAAAAAAAAAGATGGGCACAGGACCTGAATAGACATTTCTTCAAAGACATACAAATGACCAGAGAGTATATATGCCCCCCCCAAAAAAAAATTGTCAGGGTTTTTAAGAATTAGGGCGCTAGGCAGTAGTGGGACACACCTTTAATCCCAGGTGGAGGCAGGCAAATCTTTGAGTTCCGGGCCAGCCTGGTCTACAGAGGAAGTTCCAGAACAGCCAGGGCTACACAGAGAAACCCTGTCTCAAAAAACAACAAAAATAGAGAATTAGGGAAACACCAATCAAAATTATATCACTTCAAGTCCATTAAGATAACTTCAATTACAAAAAAAAGAAAAAAGAAAAAACAAGCATTCGACAGAATATGTAAGAACTGCTAAAAAGAATTTGTAAAACAGTGTAGCCAGTGTGGAAAATAGTCTGGTAGTTCCTCCAAAAGAAACACAGGATTAGGATGTGACCCAACAATTCTACGCCTAAAAAAAATATTCTCAGAAGAGATGATAAGAATCCAAACACCCTGACACACACACCAGTGCTCACTGCAACACATTCACAGTAATCTAAGAGCAGAGTTTCATGTGCTCTTCAACAGATGAAAAATGTGAAATATTCTGGTGGAATATTATTCTGCCATAAAAACAACCGAGTTTTGATAATGTTAGAACATACAGGAAACTTGAAAGCTTAAACGAAGTAAGTCAAACACAAAAAATACCTGGGATTGTGTGATCCAGGAGTGGGGGAACAAGACTAACAAAAGAACAGGGAGGAGGAAAAAAGAGGGGGGAGGTTAAAAGTAGAGTGACAGTCTGAATTATACACAAGCTTGCACCGTATGTATTTTACCACAGCAAGAATTTCAAATGAAGAAAGGCTGTACTTCAGCAGCATGTCCTTTACATTCCTACTGGGGCCATGTCTGGACCTCATTATTCCCTGTCTGCTTCTTAAATCCTGTACTGACTGGCACAGAGTGCAGCTGCCAAAGTGACTTACGAACTCTTCAGCTAGACATACAAGGGGCTGCATAACTTCGGGTGTATTTTCTCCCATCTCTTCACTTTAGGAACCCTGGTTCCAACTGATCTGATGGGCCCTTTGAACACATCCATGCTGCCCCACTTCTATACTTTTGCTCATATTACTTTTTTATTATTTGTTAAGCCTGTGTGTATGTCTGTGTACCATGTGCAGCCTGATGTCTGCAGAGGCTAGAAGAGAGTATCAGATCCCCTGGAAGCAGAGTTACAGATGATTGTGAGCTGCCATATGGGTGCTAGGAATCAAACCTGGGTCCTTCGGAAGAGCAGCCAATGAACGACTGGATCATCTCTCCAGCCCCAATCCCAGCGTTCTTAATGCTGAGGTAGAAGGATTGCCCAAATTCTAGACCAGCCTGGCATGCATAGTAAAACCCTGTCCAAAAAAATCCACCTACTTTCCAAACCTTCTCTAGGGCTGGAGAGCTGGGTTGACAGTTAGCACACTGGCTGCTTTTCCAGCAGACCCAGGTTTGATTCCCAACACCCACATAGCAGCTCACACCTGCTTCTACTTCCAGTTCCAAGAAATCCAATGCTCTCTTCTGACCTCCCTGGGTGCCAGGCACACACACAGTGCATATACATACATGCAGGCCATATACATATTCACAACAATAAATCTGAAAAGCAAATTTAAATATTTAAAACTTTCCTACCCTTTAGCTTGCCACTCTGACCAACTAGATGCAAATACTTTACCCAGCTAACCTTCACAGCACTTGTTTTCACTCTTACACTCTGTACAGTCTTCAAGCATCTAATTCTAATCCTCCCACAGCCCATGCAAATTACCCGAACAAGACTATATATTGCACTCACCATTTAATTGTTTTTTGTACCCACTAATGTCATCCAATGAGAAATCAACAACTACTAGATTGAATTACATGAGAAAAAAAATCAAAAGTTGGAAAGATTTGGAATCTGTAGAGAAAATTTCTTCATCCATGACAAAAACACAATTCCAAACAGTAAGGAATATTTTTTTTTCAAAAGTATGAACAAGAACTTTCAAATAAACAATATGGCCTTGGAATGGATGGTACAACATTTCTCACTGATAGTCTGGTAATGATGGGAAATGGTTTTTGGTCTTCTGGGGAGGGGGTTGTTTTATTTACATTTTTATTTATGGAAGGGAGTGGTACATGAACAAGCATGTGAAGTAGAAGGACAACCTGCAAAATTCAGTTCTCGCCTTCTAGCATATGGGTTGAAAAATCAAATTCAGATCATAGAGCTTAGGGAGCCATCTCATTAGACCCAGGAAATTGTGGTGTTGTTTTGTTTGTTTTCTGTTTGTTTGAGACAGGGTTTCTCTGTGTAGCCCTGACTGTCCAGGAACTCACTCAGTACACCAGGCTGGCCTCAAGCTCAGAGATCTGCCTGTTTCTGCCTCCTGGGTGCTAGGATTAAAGGCCTGTACCACTACCATCAAGCCATGTGTTTCTGATTTGAACCAATGAGATCTCCTCCACCACCACCACCACCACCCAGCTAGACCCAGGAAAATTTTAGGGTGACATCTCAAGGCTGGGCATGGAGATGAGAACTCAGTTCTCGTGTTCTCTCTCTCTCTCTCTCTCTCTCTCTCTCTCATGTTGGTGTTTGTCTCTGTGTGTGTAACAACTTTGTGAGTGAATAAAAGGTATGACTTAGGGAACAAGTATCCGAGAAAACAGTCTTGCTTGGTGGTGCATGTCTTTAATCCCAGCACTCGGGTGGCAGAGATTGGTGGGTCTCTTGAGTTCCAGGCCAGCTGAGGATACATAATAAAACTGTCTCAAAAATAAAGGGAAAGGTAAAAGGGAGAGCACCTGGAGGGCTCAGTAGTTATGAGCATTTGTGTTGGGCAGTGCAAAACCACCTGTAACTGCAGCTCCAAGGAAACACCCTCACCTGGCTTCCTAAGATCCCTTCATATACCCGCATAAACCCACACATACACACATAATCTTAACAAATTTTAATTGGAGAAAATTAACCTAACCTTTAACTTTTCAGGTTCTCCCAAGATCAAGTGTGTATGCAACCTAACCTTTAAATAAAAGCAATCTTACCTCTTACTAAACAAATGTCTGTCACATCTATAAAACCTGGGTGTACCCTAATTCATTCTGCCAAGTTCCCAGGTGGTTTCCTCTGTGCAGATAGACTACATGTCTGGTACCTAACCCCTTCTGTCAAGATAAAATACACAACATTTTTTCCTAAACAATCACGTTTCTTCTATCTCTACTATCCCTTCAAGATCTAACTAACGTCTTAAAAAGATTACATGCCCTAAATTAAGTATGTACTTTCATAAAATATATTGCTTTGAGGGGCTGAAGAGATGGCCCCGCAGTTAGGAACACCTGTTCCTCTTATTGAGGACCTGGATTCCAGTCCCAACAACCACCCATGGCAGCTCACAATTGCTTTGAACACAAAACTAGTATCAACCAGTTGTTTTTTTCTAATTAAAAAAATCAAACAGTCACAAAACAAAGCCTGATAACCAAACTTGCCATTTTAAAAGGGGGTATTGGGAGGCTGGAGAGATGTCTCAGCAGGTAAGAGCGTTTGCTGCTGTCTGAGGACCTGGTTACAACAGTCTGTAGTTCTAGCTCCCGGGGATCCAATGACCTCTTCTGGCTCTGGAAGCACCAAACATAACCATTACACACAAGTAAAATGCCCACAGACATTTTGTAAATGTTCGTCCCAATCCTTTTCACTACGCTCACTTCCCAAACTGTAACTAGGCTGACCATCAAATAACTTCCAAGGGACCAGAAATCAATGAAAGGGGAAATAAATATATAAGAAATAAACAGTCCAAGCTATCTCAGAATTCTTTTTAATCGAGTCGCACTTGTAAATTCTAATCTCAATGAAATAAGCGAAGATAGACTCTCAGTTCCATCTAGTTTCCCCCAACTCCTAACCCATCCTCTACGACGTTTAAAAAACCCAAACCAGCCGGGCGGTGGTGGCGCACGCCTTTAATCCCAGCACTCGGGAGGCAGAGCCAGGTGGATCTCTGAGTTCGAGGCCAGCCTGGACTACCAAGTGAGT